CCAGCCCCAGAGCCCACCCAGGAGCCCACCCATCCCTCGGAGCCCTCCTGTCCTCTCACCCCAAGGTCTCGGCCACGCCCAGGAGTCACCGAGCCCCCCCTCACCTGCCGAGGCGTTGGCAGTGCTGGTGACAGTGTCGGTGACGGTGCCGATGTCGGCGACAGCGGCGGTGACAGTAGCGGTGTCGGTGGCGCTGGTAGCCGCGATGACAGTGCCGGCGGTGCCAGCGGTGCCAGTGGCGGTGCCAGCGGTGGCAGCGGTGCCAGGTGCCAGCGGCGCGGGGGGCAGGGCCACCGCACACCCCGCCGGACTCTCGTCCCAGCCGTCGCGACAGTCGCGAGCGCCGTCGCACACGGCGACCTCGGCCACGCACGAGCCGTCGGGGCAGGGCACGGTGCCGGGGGCGCAGGCGGCCCGCGCTGGGGACACGGGGCAGCGGTGACACCGCCGCCGTGGGGAGAGGTCTCCGAAGGTGGGGCGTCCCGGGGTCGGGGGTCCCCGGGCGGGGGGTGCCGAGAGGAATCCCCAAAACGGGGGTTCTCAAAGAGGGGTCTGGGTGGTCCCGGGATGGAGGGGCCCCCAAAGGGAGGGTCCATGGGTGGGAACTGCAGGGTGGAGGGTCCCCAAAGGGGAGTCCGTGTAGGGGATGGTGCCGGGGGGGAGTCCGGGGTGGGGGAGTTACGAGGTGGGGGGTGCCGAGGTGGGGGGGTCCCAGGGTGAGGGTGGTCCTCAGGTGGGGACCCAGGGTGGTCCCAGGGTGGAGGGGCCCAGAGTTGATGCCCAGGTCGGGGGTCCCAGGTCGGGATTTCCAGGACTGAGAGTCCCAGATGGGGCTCCCGGGGTGGGGGATCCCAGGGGGTCGCAGGGTCGGGGTTCCCCAGTCGGGAGTCCCAGACGCGGTTCCCAGGGTGGGGGCCCCCCCGTGCCCCTCACCGGGACAATTGGCCTCGTCGGTGCCGTCGGGGCAGTGGCGGCGGCCGTCGCAGAGCGCGGCGGGGGGGTGGCAGCCCCCCCCGGGGCACGGCAGGTGCCCCTCGGGGCAGGAGCAGCCGCGCTCGTCGCTCCCGTCCCCGCAGTCGTCGCGGCCGTCGCAGCGGTGGGGGAAGGGGACACAGCGGCCCCCCGCGCACCTGAACTGCCCCGGCCCGCACCGGGGGGCACAGCCTGCGGGGAGGGGACCCCCGTGTGGGGCACGGACACTCCCACCGTGGGCTACGGACACCCCACAGTGGGGCACAGGCACCCCCGCAGTGGGAACAGACCCCCACGACTGGGGGACTCAGATCCCCCCATTATGGGGCACAGACTCCCCCCAGGGTGGTCCATGGACCCCATGGTTGTGGAGCTCAGGGACCTTTGCTATGGGGCACAGACTCCGAGGGTTGTGGGGCTCAGACCCCTCCTGTGGGGCACAGGCACTTCTCTGGTTCTCTGGGACCCCCAACTCCCCCCCAGTTGCCGGGACCCCTGGCTGCTGCCGTGGGACACAGACCCCAGAACTGGGGGGCTCAGACGCGTCTCTGGTTCCCCGGGACCCCAAGCTCCCCCGTCCCGGCCCCCCCCGGCCCCCCGGGGTCACTCACCCGCCTCGTCCGAGTGGTCCCCGGGGGGACAGTCGAGCCGCCCGTCGCAGACGCGGGCGGGGGGGAGGCAGAGCCCCCCGGCACAGGCGAACTCGGGGGGGGCGCAGGGCTGCGGGGGACACCCCGCCTCGTCCCAGCCGTCGGGGCAGTGGGTGACACCGTCACAGCGGGCCCCCCAGGGCAGGCAGCGCCCGCCGGGGCAGCGGGGCTGGTGGGGGGCGCAGGGGGGGTCGCACAGCTCGTCCGAGCCGTCACCGCAGTCGTCCTCGTTGTCACAGAGCCAGGCCCCCGGCACGCAGAGACCCCCCTCCCGGCAGCGGAACTCCCACGGGGCACAGCCGGGGACGGCGGGACACGGGGACGGGGTCGGGGGGCACTGCCAGCGCCCCTCGAGACACGTGCTGGGGGGACAGATCAGACACACGGGGGGCCGGGGGGCCCAGTGTCCCGGTGTCCCCATGTCCCGGTGTCCTGGTATCCCAGTGTCACAGTGTCCTGGTATCCCAGTGCCCAGCTATCATGGTGTCCCAGTGCCTGGGGGTCCCAGTATTCCCATATCCCAGTGTCTCCATGTCCCAGCGTCCTAGTGTCCCAGTATCCCCATATCCCAGCATCTCTGTCCCAGTGTCTTGGTGTCCCAGTGTCCCAAGATCCCAGTGTCCCAAGATCCCAGTGTCCCCATGTCCCTGTGTCCCAGCATCCCAGTGCCCCAGTATCCCGGTGTCCCAGTAGCCCCCGTGCCTCACCAGTTGCTGCAGCCCTGGGTCACGGTGGCTCCAGCCGGGAAGGCAAACCCGTCCCAGAAGCAGGGACAGGAGGGGGGGTCCACACACGCCCCGTCTGCCGGGGGTGAGGGGGACACGGGCTGGCACCAGGACCTCCCCCGGCCCTCCCCCGGCCCCCCCGGGCCTCATCCAGCCCCCTCCCCCGCCCCCTCCCTGCCCCAGCCCCCCCTCCTCCGGCCCCTCCCTCAGCCCCCTCCCAGCGCCCCCCAGGCCCCCTCAGCCCCTGCCCCCTTCTCACCGTGCAGGACCCTCCCGGGGGGGCAGAAGCACCCCTCGAGACACTCCAGGGCCCCGCAGAGCTCGGGGGGGTCCCGGCCGAGGTCGCGGCAGGTGGGGGGGCAGGGGGGGCCGCAGGGGTTGTACTCCTGCCCCCCCTCGCACTGCAGCGCTGCAGAGAGGGGGGGTTTAGGGGGGCTGGGACCCCCCAACACACATCCAGGACCACCCATGACCCACAGCCTGGGATCCCCCCGACCCACATTCAGGACCCCGTGACCCACAGCCCGGATTCCCCTCCCACCCCACGGGGGGCTCCTGCGCCCCCAGACCCATCGCCCGGACCCCATCCCTGGCACACCCCATGGGGGCCTCAGCCTGGACCCCTCTGTGTCCCCCGGTACCCCCCAGCTCCCCTCGGACCTTCGGGACCCCTCTGACTCCCCCTCCCCGGGCTCACGGCACAGCCCCTGGCTCAGGGTGGGGCTGGGACCCCTCGACCCCCCGGCCCGCCCCGGTGCCCCCCGGTGTGGGCACTCACGGCACAGCCCCTGGCTCCGCCAGCGCAGGGGTCTCCCCCGACGGCCGCACTCCTCGGCGTAGGCGGCCAGGGCCGTGCACAGACACTCGCAGTCCCCCCCGCTGTCACACCTGGGGACACGCCGTGGGACGGGGCCCGGGAAGTGCCCCTGGGGCCTGGGGACCCCCCGACCCCCCCAAACTCACCCGCAGGCGTCGAACAGGCACCACTCGTAGAAGCGCTGGGGGGGCACCAGGTCGTGGCAGGGGGCAAAGAGCTGGTGCCGCAGGACCCCGCAGCGCCCCCGCGCCCAGGCTGCGCGCTGCGGGCTGTCCTGAGGGGGACACACCCCTTCAGACCCCCCGTGTCCCCGTCCCCCCCTTGATGTCCCCCCATCCTCCCCCGTGTCCCCCTGTGTCCCCCTCATCCAGTCACGGTGTCCCCCACATGGTCCAGGCCGAGTGCTGGGGGCCGTCCTGGGGGGGACACACCCCGTCAGCCCCTGTGTGTCCCCCCATCCACCCCCCCGTGTCGCCCTGTGTCGTCCCATCCACCTCCTGTGTCCCCCTGTCCATGCCCTGTGCCAGGCCCCCATGTCCCCCCGTGCCCCCCCGTGTCCCCCTGTCAGCCCCCCATGTCTCCCCGTCCCGCACGTCCCCCGTGTCCCCCCGTACGTCGCAGGGGTGCTGGCGGTGCCCGTCGGCCTCGGGGCAGAGGGGGCTGAGGCGCCAGGAGTCCCCGAAGATCTCGGGGGTCGCCTCGAGAGCCCCCTCCCGGCTCCCGAAATCGTTCTCGGCGTCGCCGTCGAAGTTCCCGCAGAGCCCGGCCAGGCGCCCGCGGAGCCGCGGGGACACGCGCACGTACACGCGGGTCCCTGGGGGGCACCGGGGGGGCCGGGGTCCCCCTGTCACCCATGGCACCAGGGACCCTCCCCATGGCACAGGGGACCCGCCGTGGTGACCCCTCCATGGCACCACCAGCATCAGTTTCCCCCCCATGCCCCCCCCGTACCGGGGACCCCCCTGCACCCTACTCTGGTCTCACCTCTGTTCCAGAGCCCCCCCACTCCGGTGCCACCCCTGTGCCCTGGAGGGGGGTCCCACCTGTCTCCCAGCAACCCCCCAGTCCCATGGCCTCCCCATATCCCCCCACGGCCCCCCGGGGGTCTCACCTCCGTCCCACAGCACGGCCACCCCCATGGCCCCCCCGACTCCCCCATGGTCCTCCGGGGGTCTCACCTCCATCCCACAGCACGGCCACCCCCATGGCCCCCCCGACTCCCCCATGGTCCTCCGGGGGTCTCACCTCCATCCCACAG